TTCAAAGAGATAGGGAACACTAGAAGAGGTCTAAGACTGGGGAAAGATCATGAGTTCACTGTGGTATATAGTACATTTCAGGTACTTTTGTGACATTAAATATTGATATTTAACACTTAATGATAATTGTATTTTGTCAGAATAATTAGTACTAAATGCTGAAACAGATACCCTCTAACTACCAATCCCTTAAGACAATAAAAGTTTCTTGTTTATATTTTAAAAAATTAAGATGAAATAAAAGGAAAAAGGAAAGACAAAAAAACATGCATAATAAGAATGTAAAAATAATCTCAAATGAGCTAAACTTTCCAATTAAACAGGAAGATTGGTTGTTTTTAAAGATATTTAATGATATTTAAAGGGACAAATCTAAAATATTAGGCTACAGATGTAGTAAAAGACAAAGGATGAGAAATGCATAATTAAAGAAAGCTGTTGAAGATTTATTAGTAACACCAAAAAGATAAGGCAATAATAGCTTTACCAGAGCTAATGAGGATTGCTGTAACATAATAAAATTTCAGTGAATCACAAAGATGTCATAATACTAAATTTTTATGGACCTAATAAACAGTGTCAAAATATATTAAAAAGCACTTATAAATTCACCTTAATAGTGGTTGATATATAAAAATATAAATTTCTGAATAGTTGATACATTCATATAGTTCACTACTCAACAAATACAAAGAGTTAAACAAAGTTAAAAGTTTCCCTCTTGTCCTCATCTTTCATTTACCTAGTTACTACATCTTTCTACTCAATCCCAGTTTTTCCCTCTTGTAGCTTCAATTTTATCCAGTTGCTTTGCTTTTAGAAGCAAGATACAAACCATATTTTCTCCCTTTTTTTAAAGGTAGCATATTTACACACACTGTTCTTCATCTTGATTATTTTCCTTTAATATATCTTTAAGACCCTTCCATGTTATGTTTTAGAGAATCTCTTCATTCTTTATTGCCATTGTACTACATTCCACTATATGGGTTAACCTTTCAGGAACATTGATAAACATTTGGGTGATGTCCAGAATTTTGCTGTTACTAACAGTGTTGCCACAAATAGTCTTTTATGTATATCATTTTGTATGGGTACCAGTAGTATACTGGTAGGGTAAATTACACAAAGTGGAAATGATGGATTAGAAAGTATATGCATTTGTAGTTGTGATATATACACATACATACAGTGGGGGCTGTATTAATTTTCATTCCCAGAAGCAGTGAAAGTGCCTCTTCTCTGACAAGCCAAAATGTTGGTAAAATCATAGATCTTTGCTGATCTAATAGGTGATAAATAGCATTCTTAATGTCATTTTAATTTCTTGGCTTACTGTGAGGCTGAATACTATCTCATACATTTAAGAGCTATTTCTATTTTCTGTTGAACTATTCCTACCCTTTGTCCATTCTTTATTGGTTTTTGACAGGTGTGCTGGAGCCAGCTTGAACTAGTTTAAGAGAGCCAGTTATTAAATTTTCAGGAATTTTGTAAGCTGGTTGACATCATATCAGTAGCCTGAAATCAGCCATGGTGGGAATATTTACACCAGAGAAACTGGAAAACTGCACATAACAGCAGGACCCCCGACAATCGTTAAACATTTACCAGCACACCACTGGTTGTTGGATTTATTAATTCCTAGGAGCCTTTTATATGTTAAGGCAATTAGTCCTTTGTGATGTGAATTACAAAATTTCTTCCCAATTTGTCATTTTTCTTTAATTTGTTCATAGTTTTCTTTTAGCTGTGTTGAAGTTTTAAAATAAGTAGTCAAATTTATCAGTCTTTTCTTTTAATGGCTTTTAAGTCATAGTTAGAATAGACTTTTCTGCCATAGGTTACAAAGGAGTTCTCCCTTTTTTTTTTTTTAGAACTTCTTTGGTTTCTTATTTTACATTTTAAACTTAGGTCCATTTTGCTGTTTTTCTTGGTATAAAGTATGAAGTATGGATCCAAACATTAAAACATTAGCAAATGAGATCCAATAATGTATGTTTAAAAAATGCATTTTGTCAAACTATGTATTTGTGGAATGCAGCAAAAGCAGTGTGTAGAGGGATATTTTTAGACTAAACTTCATTAACAAGAGAAACTGAATTAGGAGCTTGTTTCCACTGTTATAAAAAGGAAAGAATAAACTCAAAGAAGAGTAGGAAAGAAATAATAAAAATAAGAGTAAGAGTTAATGAAATAAGAATTAAACATTCACTGGAGAGGATTAAGAAATATAAATCATGTGGAACATTGATAATTCCAATCTGACATTAACTTAGAGAATACAAAGAGGTAGTAATTCCCTCACTGGTTTTGTGCCTCGTGTAACCTTCATACTGGAAGCAGATAAGGTACAATACAGACATTGTATGTGAGTGTGTACATCATGACTGAAATAGAGCCCACGTTTAATAGTTGAAAACTTAGTAATGCAGCTCAGCACACTGAGGAGCAGAATTCTTTTATCTCAGAAGATGCAGACAAAGCATTGAAAAAATTCAAGAAACATTTTTGACCGAAATGTTAGCATTTAGGAATAGAAATGAGTTTTCTTAATTGTTGAAAATACCATACTTTTTGTGAAATACCAGAATTTTTTTAAAAATGTGACTCAAGGTGACAAAGCCTGTCCTCATGCTTTCTTTAGCATTGTACTACATGTCCAACAGAATAAACGTAGAGAAATGAAACAGCAGAGTTTGGCAGGAAAAGACTAGTCTTCTTTGTAGATGATAATCTATTTAAATAGTCCCAGATAATCTAATGTACAAATTAGGAGAATTAACAAAAGTTTAACAAGCTCCTAGAGTTAAGATCAAAACATAAAGATTAATTATATTCTTATTTGTCAACCAGTTAGAGAATACAAAATGTGTATAATAAAATAAAGCATCTATGAGTAAGTCTATAAAAACTAAGTAAGACTTTTGGAAAAAATTGTAAAGCCTTATTGAAAGACATTGAAGAAGTTAAACAAAACGTTAATGAATAGAAAGGTCAATATCATAAGGTATCTTTTTCCCCACAAATTAGCCCCAAATTCTTCATAATTCCAGATAAGACCTTGACATATCTTAGTATTCTGTCTTCACATGCATATGGAATAGAGCAAAGGGCCTTAGGAAAAAAGTGGATTGATTTGCCTTACTAAACATTGAAATGATATACCACTGTGACCCGTAGACTAATGAGACAGCCTGTACAGCAGAGAAACCAAGCTGTGCATGTATATAAGTGCTTGGTGAGTGGCAAAAATGGCTGCGTAGGTCAGTATAAAAAGGCTTAAGTAAATTTATTTGGACATTGATTAGTCATATGGAAACAGTAAAATGGATTGCTCCTTTACCTCCTACAGAAAAATCAAGTCCATAAGTGACCTTACAAATAAAATGTTGAGCAAAACAGTTTAAGTTTTAGAAAAATATATACCCTATGGTATCATTAAAAACAATGTATAAAGTAATGCCATCTATTTCTTAATGATACAACTATATGAAAAATAAAATATGCAAGGAAATGATGAACATTGGCTTTAGGATCACCTGTTAACAAGTGTTGGAGGGAGGTAGAGGATACCCGGATGGTAGCATAGAAACTTTTCATTATTTTAAGCTGAATAACTAATGATGTTCACTTTAAAAACTTTTTTTGTGACTTAAGTATTTTACAGTAAATTAAAACAAATTCAGTTCTTTCTCTGTTGACTTTGCCTTGGTGATGCCTTGACTTCCTTAGGAAAGTGAAATGCCCTCTCACAGGTCACCTAGCCTGCCAGGCTGGCACAGGTATCTAAACCAATAGTGTGAACTTGGGCAAATTAGTCCAACCCTTCCGTTTTTCTGTTTCCTCATCTGACAAATGAGAGTAATTATATGTTGTCGTGAGAATTCTGAATTCACACATATAAAGCTCTTAGTATAATGTGTGGTATACCCTAAATATAGATTCTTGAATTTGTATTCTGGAATTTCTTGAAACTTCTATTAAAAGTCTGGTTCTTTGAGTTTTTTCTTTTTTAAGCGATTCTTTTATTGGTCCTTACTTTCCTTGAACCTTTTTCAAGCTTTTGGATTTGTTTTTCTATCTTACTTTTCTGCAGTCTTTCTCAGGTGATGAGGTAGAAGTCATTTTGAACAATCCGAGAAGCCAGTAGGAGTCTGAATCGGTTTGTGTTTTCCCTAATCAGATTGCTGTTCTCAATTGAATTAGGGCAGTAGAGGCATCTTGTGTCCCTTGGAAACCAAAAAAGTCCTGAGTTTTAAAAATACTTGAAGCCCTAATCATACTAGTCTCATCATCATAGATTTTGCATTTCTGAATTTAGTTTTATTTTTATGGTTTTTATGATTTAATATTTGGAGTTCACAGATTACTTACAATGGTGAATTCTTTTCCTAAATGCCTACAATGTTGTATAATTTTTAGGTTGTCGTTTCTCTAGGCACTCTTCATACTGATTCTTTTTATCTTCATCTTTTGTAACCTAAAAAATTGTTGGCATGCATGCTTCAAAATAGAGTTTAATGCTACTTATCAAAAAACATTTATTCTCCAGGGTGTGGTAGCTTGTGTTGATTTCTTAATTAAGGTGGTTTTTATTTTTTCTATAATATTTTTCTTAAGATGGCAGCTAATATTTTCTTTTCAGCTTTTGTACATTTGGCGGATTTGTAGACAATAAAAATAATTTAACCTGAAAAATAGTGGGGAAAAGAATCCTCAAATGGGTGATGTCTCCTCCTCATCTGAAAGTATAATAATTGCATCATGAACACTTGATAGCTTCATAACTCTTAGGAGTTCCTAGCATATCTGTAGAATTTGTGCATACCAGTCATATGCACATGTGCATGTACAGGGAAGCAGGACATAAGCACATGTAGGGTACATGTGATATCAGGAGGCCCAGTCAGACCTGTTGCTTGTGTTACAGGTTTTCTGGAGGAGGTCGCTCTTATTGAGAACATTATACAAACACTGCTTTTTGCTGTATCCCGTAGGTCGGATCCGCACGAAGCGGCAGAGCTCTGGGAGTGCCACCAACGTTGCCTCTATACCTGATAATCGAGGCCGCAGTCGCGCTAAAGTGGTTTCACAGTCCCAGCGTAAGAAGTATATTTTATGCTCTCTGTTATCTTCGTCTTACTCAACAATCCATTTTATAGTTGAAAAATTCATAGTATTTCATTGACTTAAGGGGAAAGACTCATTTCTGTGACTCTGTGATACTGTGAATAATTTTCATGTTTGTTGGGTAAGTTTACAAAATGGAGATGGCAAGTTTACTTTTTCTCCTTTCCAGGCGATTTAAATTTTGTAGCATTAAACATTAAAATGTTTCTCTTCCTCTCCTCAAGCATTTCAAACTGACACATACTTGGACTGTGACCCATTTTGCTATTGATAAGGAATCCTACTGAAGTAATTTAAGCACAGTACCCAGGGAAATGACTGTTAATGTCAAGTGCTCTTCCCACTGGTCTAAGTGAATCCATTAAAAGCTCTCTCCTGAACCTGTTCTGACACTTGGAGCTTGCTCCCTTCTTGCCAGTGTGCACTCTTGCTTTGCCCAGCTGCCCTCACTTCCATTACTGCTTCTTTGTATATGTTGAGTCACTTGGTTTGTTAGCATCAGCCATGAAAGCCACCATGGGTGGAATGAATGTATTCTGATAACTCTTAGGATCCATCCCTAGTGTTTCCCTGCCCAGCTACCTGTGACTTAACAAGAGTTCCCTTCTCCTCCCTGTGCATGTAGAGCAGAGGCCAGTGTCAAGAGTTCTTCTGGGCAAGGTGTATGTGGCAGAGGAAGACTCCCCTTCTCCAGGAGCTGCCCATGTCCCCTCACCCAGCACTCTTCCACTGATGTGTGTCTGCCTCCTTTGTGGCCCCAGGACCTGTCTGGCTTGTGTAGAGTCCGCAGCCATAGCATAGGTTCACTCTCAGTATTTAGAATGCCTTTCTTAGCTCCTCCTGAATTCAGAAAGTTTTCCTTGTCCCTCTGATACTGTGGCCCTCATGTTAAGCTAAGCACGCTTATTTCCACCAGTTAAGGTGATAGTGATACACAGATGAGTAAGATACAACCTCTTCTCCCAGGTTGGTCAGAGCTAGAGAGTAGATGTGCTCCTAGAGCACAAGGCACTTGTCTTACTGTTCTCTGCATCTCCTCTGCCCAACACAGCCTGATACATTGTAGGTTCATAAGTCTTTTGTGAACAGATCTGAAATAAATGCTAATATAGTATAGTATGTATAAAATAAAAAGTACAAAAGTAGACTAGGCAGAACAAGACCTAGAAAAAGTAGTTGTTTGCTAATGTGTTTGTGAACAAGGATATTGGTGTTGTGTTGCATGCTGACCTTCTGTATTGTGTTACGGTCTTTTAATCCATTTTTTGTCTGTCCTTTGGTCTGCTCTCATAATCAAGGATCCAGATCTGCTAATCCCGCTGGTGGTAAGCATTTCTCTTCTTGCCTTTTTTTTTTTTTGCATTTTCCATCACCCCATATTCCTTGCACAATATTAATTTCTCTCTTTTTTTATGAGCTTAATCTTTCTGCATTTTTCTATGTGTTCAAATTCTACAGTTTGAAATGGATTTCTTTCTCCTTTTATACAGCTTAATGTTGTAAGCTCAAATTTTAAAATTAATAGGTCCTAAGGCAGGGTTTTCATAGTAATGTGTACTAGTGAATTTTACAATGAATTTCACTTTAAATTGTAGTTAAACCATTATAAAGTACTAATTTTTGTGAGTTCTTAGTGATTTGTTTGAATGTTGGAAGGGTGTATATGTGTGCGTGTGTTTAATTTCCAGGTGAGTGTTATCTCAGGTTTTTACCTCATGGTTATTTCACTCTGATATATAATGTGTATTCTATGTTTTAGAATTTTATTGCCTTCTCTATTTAAAGGAGATGATCTAAGTAAATGACTGCATTTGAATGTTTTGTTGTTTTCTTTGAGATTTTTGTCTCTAAGAAATGGTAATGGAGGTGTTTAGCCACTTAGTTATTAATAAAAATACTAACTATATTATTTGTTTGTAATTTCTAATTTTATTGCATATGTCTCAAGGAATGTGTTCTGTATAATCTCTACCTTTGTAGATTTTTGAGATTTCCTTTGAGGCTTAGTATGCAGTTGGTTTTTGTAATATTTGTAAGTGGAAAGGTAAAAGAATGTGTATTCTGTTTATTGGGATATTCATGTGTGTGTATGTGGGAGGTATTTTTATACATACCTGTATAATTTTGATTGCTTACTCTGTTAATTTCTGAGATGTATATTAGTCTTTCAAATGAAAGACTAATTATAGCCTTTTCAGTTCCTACCTTATTTTTATCATTTTCCTGTTTCTATTTCAAAGCTGTTATTTGGAGCATAAAGTTTCATGTTTATTACTAGGCCACAAAAAGAGCCTCACTAAATTCCAAAAGATTGAATGAAATCCTACCAACCAACTTTTCAGACCACAAAGGTATAAAACTAGAAATAAATTGTACAAAGAAAGCAAAAAGGCTCACAAACACATGGAGGCTTAACAACATGCTCCTAAATAATCAGTGGATCAACGACCAAATTAAAATGGAGATCCAGCAATATATGGAAAAAAATGACAACAACA